TATGATGATCATTCCGTTCCGTGGGATAATATCGGTATCATGTAACTTAAATTGAAAACTACCCAGGATGGCCAGGATGCCCCGTAGAGATTTTGGATCTCTGAGATATTTGGGGTGATCGCAGAAACGTCGAGTGAGCGGCCGCTTAAGATGACTTCGGCCAGAGAGGATCGGCTCTTGGTGTAGAGGTCCTGCGCCTTTTCGAAGAAGGATTAGCGAGGACCCCGACCAGTGAAGTTCTGCCGTAGTTTGAGAGCTTTTTACGAGCCGCGGCTCCTGAAGGACCCGCGCCGGAAGGGTAATTTCTCTACTACTACTACTAGTCCAGCTTTTTAAGGCGGAATCGAATTGCTGGTCACTTCCGGTCAGGGTCGTTTGAAGAAGAGTTTCCTAATGACGTTTGCCGTTGTCGTTGGATTGGGGTTGAGGTGGCCGCGGAGGGAGGCCAGCTGCACCAGAACGTGATTGAAAATGCTGGTCATCCTCCCGGTTCTCGGTTCGGAGTTGTCACTCTCTCCTGACCGTCGGTGAGGTCAATAACCAGAAGGGGAGGTGGCATCAGTGGGTTGTTAGGTGGTGCGAGGTGCCGGGTGGTCATCTATGAATGTCATTTGGGTGCCAGATGGATTGGACTATTAGAGTCATCCCCGGGAGACTTTCGTCTCGGTCTCTTCTGGGTGGAGATGGTGGGGAGTTCGGGACGCACAACTCTGTTCTTTGTCCTGCCTGGGCCCTTATCCTTAGCTACAGGCTTGCTAGGTTCAGGCGTTCAGGGGTGGTTGCGCTGGTGACTGGTGCGCTATCGTCTCCCAAGATGGAGTTCGATGGGGTCCAGAAGACCGAATCGTCAGGGAACGAGGGTGGGTCGTCCTGGGTCTATCTGGGGGTGAATTTTTGATGGACCAGGAGTTTGCGAGTAATATCATGTAATTTAAATTTACATAGTTTGCGCCTGCAGCAACTTTCCCCCACCCAGAGCTGGGCAAAATACTTTCAAAAAGTATTTAAATACTAAATACTAAATACCTAATAAAGACTGAAAGTATTTAAGTACTAAATACTATTTGACTTGAAAAGAAATAAATACTAAATACAAAAAGTATTTAAATACTTATTTAAGTATTTAAATACTTTTTAAGTATTTAAGTACTTTAAAAAGTATTTAAATACTTTAAAAAGTATTTAAATACTTTAAAAGGTATTTAAATACTGTGATGATCCAGAAATTTGACCCGATAATTACAAAGTCTTTACTGTAAAAATTAAATAAATTTTATCAAATAATCAAAAACTTAATTCCGGTATTTTTAAATCCGTATCGATAAATTGAAAAGGAAACAATTTAACGTTTAATATTATATTAGGTGTTTCGTCATGTGTCATCACCCGATCAATGAACTTTTTTTTCGAAGGCCAGCGTGTTAATTAATTTGATGAATTATGGCATTCTTGAACCAATAATGTTTTGACCTCAATAAATCAGATTATTGCGACATAATTAATTGATTTCAGGCTTAAAATGATGTCAAATTCCAAGGAAATTGCATCATTATTTTAATAATAATTAGCTTGGCCAATAGAAGTGTCGGATTGCTAGGCAAGTGACCGCCTGTTGACGATTTGGGGGAAGATATAAAAACCACGGTTTCAGTTGCCATTAGATAGTTCCCAGTTAACAGTTGCCAGAAAACAGTTGAGTCGTCCATTTGAGTTGAAGTCTGACCAGTTTCGCGAAAAGTTTCTTTCATGGCTAATGGCCTCGGGTATAATTTAACTTAGAAAATTTACGGAAAATCGTGAAAGTAAAAACATTTGAAATTCGTTCAATAAATTATGTGCGTGCTAGCTAAATATTTTGAGTAATTAATTAAGAAATTTTACGTGTGTTTTATGGACAAAATGTAAGTACTTTATAGTGACAAGATCTATTTTTGATGAACATGACTGTGTGAATTTTACTAGAAAACTTTTGACTTTTAATTTAACGGTGGAACTTTATTACAACGAAATTAATAACTTGAGTGTTTTATGAAGGAAACATTATCGCATAACTTTAATTACCTTCAGATATAATGACATTTAAATGTGCAATAAAAAAAATGAAGAGTACCTACTTATAATGCATTTAACAATATACAATTTTGAGTTGGAATTATGAAATTAAACAGTTGAATTTATTAGCTAGGCATAGGAATCGGAAAATAGAATTTGTTCTGATAAACTATTAACTGCAATAGGAAATTTTGAAAAGAAATTTGATGTCATAAAATAGAATTGTTTTCTTGAAATATTGGAAACTTGTTAAAAGGAAACTTATATTAGAATTTGTTCATGAAATAGAATTGTCTTAGAATATGGAAAAGCTGTTAAAAGAATTTATTGTTCATGAAAGGAATTTTGAATTAGGGAGTTTATTTTACAAGTAGAAGTTATTGTAAGATTTTATGAGAATAAATTAGTTGATAAACAAATAGGTAATTATTTTGGGTTTTAATAGGTAAAGGACTTAGAGATTTAAGGAATTATTTGACTAGGTGAAGGATAGTTATTAGGAATGATTCGGATGTAGTAAAATGAGTTGAATTATAATTTTGAGAAATAGTATGAATAGGGCGTTTCTTATTTAGTAGGGATATTTCAGTGGTCTGTAAAATAACAATACAGAACGGATGTGAAGTATTGACTTTTTAGAACTAAAGACGGATGTAAAGTATTGGAAGATATTTGGCTGATTGATTTTTGGGTTTTATGTGAAATAAAATATAATTTAGTACACCTCCTTAGTTTGTTTCTCTCTCTTGCAAATAGACCCTCTTCCACAGATTTTAGATAGGAAGCTCCAAGTAATATAAACACCATCAATAGACCGCTCGCCATTTACCATCTAACTAAATTTATATAGAGTTCGTGGGGCGTTTTGCTACAATACTTTTATTAGGTAAATACCTTATTCAAAGACTTCAAATAGTACATTTCGTCACTAGTGCGAATAGACGGGCAGACGGCCTTTTTCAAACGAGGGCAATGATTTTGGAACGAGTCGTAGTTCGTAGCAGAAGGAGACATCGGCGGAGGCAAGTTTAAAAAAGAAAGGCGTCCATTCGCACTTTTTCTTTGAACCAACACAACAACCTCAGCAGAAGCAACAAATATTTTTCACCAAAAGCGCGTAAACAAACTACCCTGCCTGCCTGCATATATTTTCAGAAGCCGTCTAGCCAAAGATACTCACGCGGCACGGGTCTAGTCTAGGAACTGATAATTTGACGAGTTGAATCTTGTTCATCTGTATATTTTTTGCAGAAGAAAAAGTATTTAAATACTTTCGAAAGTATTTAAATAATTTTGATATTAGTTAAATACTTGAAAGTATTTAACTACTTTTGAAAGTATTTAAAATACTTCAAAGTATTTAAATACCAAATATTTCAAAAAGTATTTGGATTCATAAATACAAATACCAATTTTAGAAAAGTATTTAAATACTAGGTATTTAAATACTTTAAAGTATTTAAATACTAAAAAGTATTTAGAATTGCAAATACTGCCCAGCTCTGCCCCCCACCCCCTATAAACAAATTTATAAAGTTATTATCCTGCACCCTGCACCCATGAGAACTTTCAAAAGTCGGCGCCTCTGACTGTTCCTATACAATGGTTTTTCTTTGTACCTTGACCATATCAATAATAGTGGATTTGCTAAAATTAAAAGCTAGTTTTTAAAGAAACTTGATGGATTGCTTGAAAAATATTTCTGTGTCTATCATCTACTGTTAGCAGTTAATGAAAAGGAAGATTGATGGGAATAAAATGAATTGACCTTACAAATCTAATTTTGTGAATTGCACTTTTGTTAATCAGAGAGATACTAATCTTTTTGAAATTAAAAAATCAAGTACCTACCTTGAAAATGTAGATTTTAATCGATAACTTCCATTTATTGTGAGATATGAAAGTAACTTCTAAGTGTGAAACAAAGTACCTACCTAATATACCTACTTGGAAATAAAATAAAAATGGTTAAAAATAATCCCTATGAAGAAGTTTTTATTCCAGAAATAATGACTATAATAAGCTAATAAAACAGTAAAACTCCTTAGAGAAAAACTTCAAGCCCCACAACTTTATATAAGACGCAGAAACGGGAACAGGGAGACATCAATTTAGTGCCAATTTATTTACAAAACTAAAACAGGGATTTTGGTCCCTAATATTAAATTGACTTACTTATCACAGCCCTAAGATTGATTAAAATATGATCATAAGAAATTATTGCTTTCTAACCCATAATTTCATTAATGAAGTTTTTTTTTTTATGGGTTAATATACCATCTAAAAACGATTTCCTATGTTACCTGATGCCATTTTCAAGAAACATGTTTTTAATTAAGTTTCCACCTAAAAACAATATCCAAGATAAAAGGGGCACTAAATTCAAAATAAAGCATCGTCTCTCTGTCTGAATCCTTATATACAGCATCGAGTGGCAACCTTTATATATATTTCAGCTTTTTAAGGAAAATAAACGATGGCAGCTTACCGATAAAAACGATTTTTCCTATCTTCATCGCGAGGTTGATACGATCATAAAGAAAAAATTGAGGTGTTTTTCAAAATCCTGACACACATTTTTTTCTTTGAAAATTCCCGTTTATTTGCCAAGAGAGATTGTCTCAAGGAAATTTAAAATCTTTTGTCCCAATAAATTGTCGCGTTGCCTAGATCAGTTTAGATTAATGGCTGGGTGTTTAGTTGGAACAGGTGAACTAACAAACTCGATTATAATCGCAATTGAAATAATGATTAAATGAAGTTAAACATTTAAATTAATTTTCCACACACTAAAAATAAAATTCTCGCGATGATCTATTTGTATATTTGTTCTTAGAAACAATTAAAAGCACACAAAAGCATCAAAACTCTAAATTACTTCCTAGAATGGCGGACAAACATACACAAAAACAGGCTAACAGCCAAAAAAAAAATCATTCCTAACTTACCAGTGTGCTTCGCGAAAATTCCTACAACATACAAATAGATTTCTGTTAGATTGTTATACTTAATTAAATATTAAATGGCTTTCAGGTTTATTGTAAATTTCACAATTTTATATCTTGATTATTGAAGATAAGTGAAGTTGCATCAGGTTTCAAGAAGTAAAGTATGTTTTTTTTTAAAGATAATTCCCCAAGTCAAAAATTTACTCTTACCTTGGTTTATTATATTTCTCTATGGTATTGCCAACAGAATGTCATTTTGACTTTTATCTTTAAAAAAAAACAGATTTTAGATAATTTGTTTTCATTTTATTTCAAGTTTCCTGAAATGGTTTTTGGAGTAGGTATTCAGAACAGCTTCTGAAGCACAAATGAGGCATCATTGAAGTGATTCTGATTTTGTTACAAATAAGCTCCAAATCTTAGAGTGGATTTTGGAGTGATAAGAACAGCTTTCTGAACTTCTAAAGGTAACGTTTCTGCAAGCTTCAAAATGGAATCTGGAAACTTTTTAGCTCTATCCAAGAGAATCCATAGAGAAGTTATGGAAGATGTTTGTGAGTTCAAAGCCGAGAAACTATCAGGTGAATTTTGAAGAATAATGAAGCATTGGAAAGCTCAAAAAATATGAGTAACTTGTAGGAAAATTGAGAGCGAGCTCGAGAAAGTTTGAAGACATCCTGGAAACAGTAGGTACAAACAAGTATAAATTATGAAGATCTAAGGAGCCCAAAGGAAATTTGAGAAATCCGAAGCAGTATGAAAAAATATTAGTGAAATCCCAGGGAAATCAAAAGAAAATTCAAGGAAGTCTAATAAGGCAATCAAGGAAAATCCTAAGGAAATCATGAGAAATCCAAAGAAATCATGGGACAGCTTAAGGAAATCAGTCAGTCTCTAGATCTAACGCATGCGCAGTTTTCAAAAATCTTTATAATTTGAAGTTATCAGAGGAACTTTTCGGCAATCTTACTGGTAATCAGAAGAAATCATCCATGATTTTCCCTAAAACCGCAATCTGGTGTACAAAAACTGACGTGCGGTTAAGTCCTTGAAATGAACTGCAAATGAAATTTGGTGTACCTATGTACAGGATGTACAAGATGCGATAATTTTTTGCGGGTTTCGGGTATTTCTAAAGCAATTGGAAAAAATCTGTCCCCCACCTGCGAACCTCGATTTTCAAGAGAAGTTGACCGGTGAAACTCGCATTTCGATTCGTTTTAAAGCTACAAAGGGAAAAATTGACAAAATTTCCATAAATAAACGAGTTATAGATAATAGACCCCCTGCTTAACTGCAAATTTTTCGAAAACCCCTCGTAGCATAAAAACGACTCGACATATCGAGATGCGGATTTCACCAGTCAATTTCTCTTGAAAATTGAGGATCGCAAGTGGGGGTCAGATTTTTTCCAACTGCTCTAGAAATACCCGAAAATCGCCAAAACCATCCAATGTTGGACACCCTGTACAAATTAGGGAAAAATCAAGAGGAGATCATGAAGAAACAGGGCCGTAGCCAGGGGGGGGGGCATTGGGGGGCAATGCCCTATCTTTCAAATGATGATGCCCTACCTTTAAAATACAACATGAGTTAAGGTTTCTTTAGGAAATTTGAAAGAGTAGACAATGAAATGAATTGAAATAAATCGAAATCGAGTGAGTGCGAGGATAAGTATTTCCGGAAACGTCTGTTAGTGCAGTTCGTGCAGCGATAGGAGCGGATAATTCTCTAACCTGACAAAATTATTATTTAAGTAGATTGAAGTGGAAACTAACCGAAAAAAACTGTGTAATATTTATGAAAAGAACAAAATTTACGAGGTTTTATTGTCGGAAATTATAGAGGAAGATGGAGATTCCCTATCTCCCAACCCTGAAGACAGCTTCTTTGAAGTAGTTTTTTAATACTATTGCCCCCTCCGCATTCTACACTTGTTACATCTCCTCTTGAGCAGGTGCAGGTAGTGCAAGATTATGGGCACCCTACACTGAAATAACAAACGCCTTACACTATTTGCACTAACCGTATAACAAACGCCTCAGTGCAGAAAAGTGTAAATTATTGTGCACTAGTGGAGGATAACAAACAGACCTGTTATTTATTGACAAGGTTCCTTAAGTTAATAATAGGTTGCCTGGTAATGGGTAATTTAATGACGCATCTAGGGTGTCTTTGGAGACTTTCATTATATTGAGGCACCCAAGATGACGTCATAAAGTTACATTGATTTATGGAAAAATTTGCCATTGGGGCCATTACCCCTCTTTTGTTAACCTATAAAAAAATTAAGGGGAGGTGTATGCCCTATGTCAAATTTGTTATGCCCTATCACAAATTTGACTCTAGCTACGGCCCTGTGAAGAAATCAAGAGAAATCTGAAGGAACTCAAGGGAAATCCTAAGGAAATCATGAGAAATCTTAAGGAAATCAGTCAATTTCTAAATCTAACGCATGCGCAGTTTTCAAAAATGTTTATAATTTGAGGTTATATTATCAGGGAAACTGTTCAATCTTACTTTAGAAATCAGAGGTAATCATCCATGATTTCCCCTAAAACTGCAATCTGGTGTACAAAGACTGACCTGCGATTCATTTTTTGGGATAAACCGCAAGGGAAATCTTGGGCTGAGCACCTATCACCAATAGAGATATCTTCTGTATCTCTATTGACGTCCCTTTTCTATCAATTTCAAAAAGAGAGAAAAAGACAGCAAGTCCCATAACGATGGGTATAACGATCTCTATCCGTTACGAGTAGATTCCCAGTCCTGGTGTAAAAATTAAGGGAAATTAAAAGTGAATCCAAGAAAATCTAAGGCAATCCAAGGGAAATTTTATAAGGAAATCATGACGACATCAAGAAAAATCTGAAGGAAATCATGGGTAATCATTCACGTTTTCCCTTAAAACCGCAATTTGGAATACAAAAACTGATCTGCGGTTCACTCCTTGGGATAAACCGCAAGGGAAATCTTGGGCTAACGAATAGAGATTTTCTCTCTATGTCTATCGACGTCTCCTTTTTATTGATTTCGAAAAGAGAATAGAAGACAGCAAGTGCCATAGCGATAATCCATTACAGAGTAGAGTCCCAACCCTGGTGTAAAAATAAGGGGAAATTAAGAGAAAATCGAAGGAAATCCACGGCAATCCAGGGGATATAATAAGGAAATCATGAGGACATCAAGAGAAATCTGAAGAACCTCAAGACAAATCCTAAGGAAATGATGAGAAATCTTAAGAAAATCAGTCAATCTCTAGATCTAACGCATGCGCAGTTTACAAAAATCTTTAAAATTTGAGGTTATGTTATCAGGGAAACTATTGGGCAATCTTACTGGTAATCAGAAGAAATCAGGGAATCCCCTGAGAAGAAATCTCCCCTGAAACCGCAATCTGGTGTACAAAAACTGACCTGCGGTTCAGTCCATTGGGATAAGCCGCAAAGGAAATCTGATGTAAGTACAAATTCGGGGAAATTAAGAGGAAATCCAAAGAATCTCTAAATCTAACGCATGCGCAGTTTTTATAAATCTTTATAATATGACGTTACGTTATCAGGGGAACTGTTGGGCAATCTTACTGGTAATCAGGATAAATCATCCATGATTTCCCCTAAAACCGCAAACTGGTATACAAAAACTGACCTGCGGGTCAGTTCTTGGGATAAAACGCAAGGGAAATCTGGTGCACAAATTAGGGGAAATCAAGGGGAACTCCAAAGAAATTTGAGGCAATCCAGGGGAAATAATAAGGAAATCATGGGAAATCTTGATAAAATCAGTCAATCTCTAGATCTAACGCATGCGCAGTTTTCAAAAATCTTTATAATTTGAGGTTAAGCTATCAGGGGAAATGATGGGCAATCCCACTGGTAATCAGAAAAAATCACTGCAATCTGGTGTACGGTGTACAAAAACTGACCTGTGGATCAATCCTTGGGATAAACCGCAAGGGAAATCTGGTGTATTTACAAATTAGGGGAAATTGAGAGGAAATCCAAGGAAATCCGAGGCAATCCCAGGGAAATAATAGGGAAATCATGAAGACATCAAGAGAAATCTGGAGAAACTCGGGGGAAATTTTAAGGAAATCATGGGAAATCTTAAGGAAATCAGTTAATCTCTAGATCTAACGCATGCGCAGTATTGAATTTTTTTTATAATTTGAGGTTTTGTTATCAGGGGTACTGTTGTGCAATCTAACTGGTAATCAATAGAAATCAGGAGAATGCATCCATGATTTCCTCTAGAACCACAATCTAGGATACAAAAACTGATCTGCGGTTCAGTCCTTGGGATAAACCGCAAGAGAAATCTTGGACTGAGATTTTGTAACGAATAGGGATATTTTCTCTATCTCTATCGACGTCTCCTTCCTATTGATTTCGAATAGAGAGAAGATAGCAAGTGACAGCGATAGGGATAACGATCTCTATCCATTACAGAGTCCCAGCCCTGGTGTACAAATTCGGGGTAATTAAGAGGAGATCCAAGGAAATCTAAAGCAATCCAGGAGAAATAATAAGGAAATCATGAGGACATCAAGAGAAATCTGAACAAACTCGGAGGAAATCCTAAGGAACTTATGGGAAATCTTAAGGAAATCAGTTAATCTGTGGATCTAACGCAGGCGCAGTTTTCAAAAATCTTTATAATTTGAGGTTATGTTATCAGGGAAACTGTCGGGAGAAGAAACAGCAAGTGCGATATCCGTTACAGAGTAGAGTCCCAGTCCTGGTGTACAAATTAGGGGAAAACAGGAGGAAATTCAGGGAAATCTAAAGCAATCCAGGGGAAATAATAAGGAATTCATGAGGATATCAAGAGAAATCTGAAGAAACGCAGGGGAAATCCCAAGGAAATCATAGGAAATCTTAAGGAAATCAATAAATTTCTAGATCTAACACATGCGCAGTTATCAAAAATCTTTATAATTTGAGGTTATGTTATCATGGGAAAACTTGAGCAATCTTACCAGGTAAGATTGTCCAAGTTTTCCCAAGATAAGGACCGGATGGAACTCTGTAACAGATAGAGATCGTTATCCCTATCGCTATGGTACTTGCTGTCTTCTTCTCTCATGTCGAAATCAATAGAGAGGAGACGTCAATAGAGATAAAGAACATATCTCTATTCCTTACAGAGTTCCAGCCCTGGGTCCTTATCTTGAAACAGGGGAGCAACGTTTCCAGGAGAACAAGTGTTCCGTCTTTGTCAATGATATGCAAATAATAATATAAGTAACAAAGACAGACCACTCGTTCTCCTGGGAACGCTGCTCTCCTGTTTCAAGAATAAGGACCCAGGTATAATCAGGGGATATCATGGAAAATCATCAATGATTTTTTATAAAACTTCAATCTGGGGTACAAAAACTGACCTGTGGTCTACCACTCAGTGAAATCTGAAGTAGTTGGAGAAACTTTAAAAGAAAGTCCGAGATGAATTATCTAGGGAAAACTAAACACATTTCTTTAGAGAAGTTTTTACTTCTAATCAATAAATCAAGTGCAGAGAAATTGAGGAAATTTGGAAAAAATCCGGTAGGTACCTATACGAGAAAGTTCAAATTATGCAAGTATTGGGGAAGTCCGAAGAAATTTGAAGTAATGAGATATTAATAAACAACTCGCAGGAAGTATGGGAAATAACTTATCAAACAACAAAGGAAGTTTCTTTATGCAAAATAACGGATGTTTTAAGGAAATAGGTGAAAATTTGGGTAGGTACAAGAAACCTCGAATTACGTTATTGTAAGGAGGAAGTTTCAATGAAGTTCTTATTCAATAATGCTTCATTTGTTCAAATTCAAAATCCATTTTCCAAAAATAATGAAAATCGAATACATTGTATATACAGAAAAACGTATGGGTTATTTTTGGTACAAGAGGAAAAATAAACTCAGACATAATATACACTCTGGCAATATTTTCTGGATATAATATACACAATAGCAATCCTGTAACAACTATTCAAATAAAATTTATATCTTGTTATTTCAACTTGTGTGTACACGATAAAAATAAATTTATAATTAAACAAACGATTAATTTAAGCTTTCCGTAGACCAAATATAATAAAAATGTATGTCAGAAGCGTGCTTAATTGCTCCTAGCTTTTCACGGATAAATAGTTTCGATTTAGGGAAAATTGTTGGAGCATGAAAAAGCCTTTCTAACATCGGCTTCATTAAATTCCTTATCGATAGGTGGGAAGCTTTCATATTTTTCCTATAACTCGAGTCGGAAATTTGAAGTGATTTTTGTCAAAGAGGAAATAAGGATATATCCTAGGAGATTTTCAATTGATGTTTAGTTGATATATGAAATTATCAGTTTCAGAAGGAATTTTTGATATCAATTCATTGAAACTCGATCTTTTGGATGATAGAATCATTGCTAAAGAATGATTAGAAATGATGAAAGTAAAATGTCAAGAAATGTTGAAGAATTAGAGAAATGGAAATAAAACCAAACCCTGACTTATTATCAATAACGTCTCTATACATTGTTTCACAGAGTTTTGAAAATCAAATCCAGAAATGAATTACTCTCGTCAGAAACTCTGAAACTATAGGTATATCATGATATTCAACCATTCAAGAGGGTAAAGGTAGGAAACTAAACCAAAACGGGGGAAGCCCGTCATTGATTTGTGAGTGAGAGGGTCGTGATTGGTCAGAGAAAGGAGCCTGGAAAAAGAGTGGAGGGGGTGGGCCTAAGAACCCTCTATCTACTTTCATCAATTCTCTTGTTTATAGTTTTGAAAATCAAATCGAAATCGTCAGAAACTCTGAAAGTGAACATCATTAAAGAATATGATGTTGGAAACTCAAATTATTACTCCTTTGTACAGTGATTTGCAATTGAAGTTCAAAAGTATCTGAAATGAAACTAATTATTTCAGTGATAATCACTGTCTGTTTCTCAATATAAAATAGACGTAACTGGGAAATTATAAATTCATCACCGGCATAAATTTTCCGTTTTGAAGCGAATAAACAAAATTCCAACGAAAAAACAAAAAATCTAAATAGCAAAACTTTCGCCCGACCCAATTTAATCGTCATTATTTGGGTTGGAGTCAGCACATTTCACCTTGACACTCATCCAAAAGTATTTTCGTTCAACCTAAAATGTCCAGATTCAGGAACGATAAAACAAAAAAGAGGGTCCCTCCATAAAAACCATTGTCAGGCCCATTATTACCGCACAACTTTGAAGAACTTTTTTAATATCTAATGAAAAACTCTTGAAGTAAACAGTATTTCATTTTTACCTCTTTGTTAGAAAATTGGCAAAAGACAAAAAGGAAAAGTGTGTTTTTTTTTTTTTCAATGGGTGCTATAGAGGTTAAGGACTAATAATGATTTTTAGGACTGTAGCCTAGATTCCTTTGTAATTATCATTTGGAAAGCTTAAACAAACTATTCCAGCTTTAAATAAAAGGTTTTTGTATGCTGGTTGGAAATGTTTGCTTTGTGGATACAAAAACCCCAACTTGTTTGTGTTCAAAGATAAATATTTGATTAAAAAACACTTTTTCGGGATCGAATTCAAATACTTAAAAGTCCAGACTCAATTGACAGGTTTCTTATTTATCTCACTTCTTAATAGATAAATCGACGACCACACAATTATAAAACGTGTTTACACTGTGTTAGATCAATACCCATTAAAAAACTTTTATTTTTAGATTTTATTGGCAATAAGATACGTTTTCAAATAAACTTTTACCTTTTGATGTAAAACTGAAGCTCCTCAATCTGTAGCTGTCCTCGTCCTCTTCGCCTTCCGTATTACTGTGACTGGGTACCGATCGGCGCGTTTCCGGTACGTCCAAAAAAGCCGTCGATTTCCTTTGGTACACCGAGGTACCGCGTCTTTGCGAACCTTTCCGGCGAATATTCGGCGACACGTCCGGCGTCGAATCTTCCGTCAGTTTCGGTTCGCTGTTTGATTGAGATTTGTCGACTGGAGCTGGAAAAAAATCTGATGTGAATACGTAAAAAGGCAACCGAATCAAAAATATATACGTGACCAGTTTTAATCACTTAGATTTCGAGGGTGGATTTGATTATAGAGAGCAAATTCGGGCTAAAGATAAAGGCAAACTTTATGGTTACTTGTGTTTTACTGAAGGAAATGGCAAGGTTTTTGATTTTATAAGTTGTTGAAATTGATTATTTTACATGTAACTGCGAGAAATTTCCAAGCTTTCTGGATTATAACTTAAACGAACAATTTTTTAAGAGACTAAAAGAAGAATACTTAATAGAAAATCAGGATGAGAGAATCAGGGCTGAAACAAGGCAATTGATGAAAGTAGATAATGCGCCACTTAGGCCGACCCCCTCCACTGCTCTTATTCGCTCTTCCAGGTTTCTCCTCCTAGAAAATCACGATCCCAGGTTCTTCTAGGCCAATGGCGAGCTTCTGATTTATAGGTTTTCTCTCTTAAATGGTTGAAATGGGAAAATGGAACAATGAGAATTGAGCTTAAACAACTAGTTTTTGAAAACCTCAAAGAATAAGAATAGAAAGCCAGGATATGGGAATAAGGGCTGATATTTCGAAATTTTGACTTTGGTTTTTGGCCTTAGAACACAGGAAACTCTGAAAATAATGAAGATCGAAACTTTAACTCCGTAACGGTAAGTCGTAGAGGAAAACTCTTCACGGGCAGATTGTAGAACTCGTCAAGATCTACAAAAAAGCTTCTCAAGTCTTACCTCTACAACTCACCATTTCCGAGATATTCCACTTGGAAGTTTTGAAATCATTGATGGGCCTTGCTTTTTTTTCGGCCAAAAAATCAAAGTCAAAATTTCCGGGATTTTCTTCCACTGCGTCATAGAGGAGGTCCAGAGAAATGTCGGAACCCACTTTTCCCCCTTTAATTTCTAGTTTTTCCAGCAGTTTCCGACTTTTTCTTTTCTTATACCCCATAAACTGGAAAATCCAAATTTTCCTAATTTTGGAAAAACAAAAATTTCACTGTATAGAGGAGGTCAAAACAAGCAGAAAATCCATTTGGCATTTTTCCATAGGACGTCTCTTATGCACGGAAAAAAATTAAAAACAAAAATTAATAGGGATCGGAGGCTTTCCAGCTTTCCATAGTCTCATTACATGGGCCATAACTCTGGAACGCCTAGATCGAGTTCAATGAGTCATGTTTCATTCGATAAAGGATTAAATTGCCCACAAAATGATATTATCCAGAATCTTTAGAATTATCCGGTTTTCAAGTTATGAGCCGTCAAAGTTAAAATTTTCTCAAAAATTAGCCTTAGCTTTGGTTCAGGTGGAGTTTCAACTTCCAGGACAACTCCTAGTGCCGTTTTGTCCATTTATTATTGTTAATTATGGAAAAACATAAACATAAAGCTTTTTTACTTTTTTTTATTGTTTTCTTCCCCAATAATGCAGTAAATTGAAGCAGTGACATGTTTAATATGGATATCAGTCAACTTTGTTAGTTTTCGTTCGATTGATTTGAATTTTTAGTATGTTTTGTCTCTCAGCCTCTTAAATATTCCCTCAAAATTTTATATTCGTGCTTCAAGTAGTTTTTGAGTAAATAATTAAAATGTGAAGGCATGTCATAGAAACAGATTTCCTAGAAAGTTTCAACTTTGAAGGCTGATAACGCAAAAACTGGAGAACTATCGACAACTAATTTGTGTCTTAATGGTCCTTTGGGATTCTCCAAACTCCATACACTAAATTATTTTCAGATTTGGAGCCGGATTCTATGACAAAAGGCACTCAGAAAAACTGAAAAATTGATAAATCACCCCAAATTGCTTAACACGATTTTATCTCAGGAACTATAAGTCCAAATGAGCTGAGAAGTAGATGATGGGCTCTTTAGGCCGACCCCTTCCACTCCCCTTTCAAATTCCCCTAGCCAATCACGACTCTTTTCTTTATTTAAGGCTCCTTTTCTAGGCCGAAGGCGAGCTTTCCCTATCAGGCTTTCTCTCATGAATGGTTGAAATGAGAAAACTGAGTTGACTGACTAATAGTTTGTGTGAGTACCATTGGAAAATGAGATGACTCTTGATTGGTTCAACCATTCATCTCTGGAAGTTTCTTTCCTGAAATTCGAACCAACGGTAATATGTTGAAAGGGAGAAGGAGCCTGGATAAGAATTGGTGGGGGTCGACGCAAGCGACTCTTTATCTACTTTCGACGCGATGGGTGAGAAAAGACAACAAAATTTGGAAAAATCTATAAAATGATCTCTCAACGAAGGATTGAGAACAACGTCTCAGTAATAACAAAACCATGAGCTAATACAATATACAGCTTTAGGTGGGTTCCGAAGATATAAATGATATCGAGAAGTCGATGTAATGATCTGAAAAAAGCTACAAATCATTACGAAATGAGACTTGGATATATGAAGACTCTTAAGAAGACAAACATTTGGATCAAAGCAAGAACCAGCTTATGGATTACGAAATTAAATAAACAAGATTTGTTTGTTAATCTCCTAGTCTTGTTTCAACATATCTAGAAACAGGAAAATCCTGCTTAATCCTTTGAAAAATATAATTATTGGACTAAGCTGAATATTAAAATTAATTTTAGAGAGGAGAAGACTTATCTATATGTTATTTCCCTTTGCTAGACAGAAAATAAAATGATATTTCACGTAGGTACGCAATTTTAAAGTTTCATTGAAATTTCCATATGAAAAGCATTTTCAGTTCCTCATTACTATTTCAGCATAATTTATCTTTTCTCTGACGTTTTTGGGTATTGCTAAAGTTTAACCGGTGAGTGGATGCTTCTGACAGTTCAGCATATAACACTTTGTTAGCCTGAAATGATTCATTTATATTGTATAAAGGAATAAGACATTTTGTCGGCTGGAATTGAAACGTTACAAAGTATAAATATTTCAAACTGGGTTTTACAAGAATTAAAACTTTTGAGAGTTTTCATATAGTTATAGGTATCTGGAATGCTTAATTCTTGGATTAATTTAAAATCTGAATTTCACTGAGAAGTTTAGAAACTCTAAGGGAGCTCCTTCAAAATCTTTTAAAAAAGTAACACTTTGAGGAATTATTTAGTATGATAGAAGGCTTTGAAAATGCTCAATTTTCAATGGAAAGAACTATTTTTCTGGAGTTTGTTTAGAGATTTCCTTTGACTAAACAATTTCAAATATTTCACAGACCTTTATTAAGAGAACGCTGAATTTCTAATTATCCTTCCATGTCTATTTAGAAAAAATGTTTCAAAGACTGAAAGATATAAGTACCAAAGTCTGATAAACTTCTGGACAACCAATCTAAAACTTTTGAAACTCTTCCAAAACTTCCAATATGAAAGAAAGACCCTTACCCTGTTGATTGGTCCTATTCCTTACGCTCCTCCTATTGGTCATACGGGCGCTTTGAGACCTGGCGGCAGGTCGACGTCTCCTCTGAGTAGGAGTACCGTCCGACGCCGGCGGAATCGCCTCCATACTGGTACTGCCGGTGGCGCAAATCGACGCCGAGCGTCCTTTTTGGCGCGGAACGCGATGCGGTCGGTCGTCCGTCATGGCGCAAACTGACGCTCTGGATGTGAGGGTTCAGGCTACGACGACGCTCTTTCCAGACTCCGTCGCGACGTCGACTGTATTATCATTTACGGGTTTCGTACGATAATCGGTGTTGCCAAGGAATGAGCGAATATATGCTCGTGATAAGATTTGTCACACCTTTTCGAACAAGAAAACTAGATTCGAAATGCTTAAGTTTTATCCAAAATTTTCTAGAAATAGCCAAGGATAACTACTAATTCAGGGAAAAAAAGAAATCGCCTGAGTTTATTAATTATGGTCTTTTCAGTGAATAAAAGAAAATGAAGAAGAATCTACTGAGGCTCAGAAACATGACTTATTTTTCTATGTCAATACTAAGGAAATTTTCAAATTCCAGTGAGATTACTTTTGAGAGCTTCTCAAAAATATACTTGAAAGAATCAGAGCGCTTTCAAACTGGCAGAATTTATTAATTAAAGTCTTTTCAGTTTATAAAAGCAACTGGAAGATAATCTACTGAGGCTCCAGAAATAGATCTAGGATCTTATCTATGTCGACACTAACAAAATTTAGACATTTCTGTGAGATCACTTTCAAGAGCTTCTGAGAAATACTTGAAAAGATCAGGACACTTTTAAATTGTTACAATTTCTTGCAAATTCCAGGAGTTTTCCTAGATAGAGGTGTATGTGTCAATTTTAAAAATGAAAAGTAACACGAATAACTAGGATTTGTGAAAAAATAAAATAAAAATAGAACATTTTATTATTCTCATTGTAGTTTCTCAAAACTTTGACAAAAACAAGGACAAGGAAGGTAATTTTATTCATTCCACATTAAGAAAGACATTTTTCTTTTTTCCTCTGTTGATTATCCGAATCTCTACGACGTTCTTCGAAGAAGTAAAATTGTACAATTCCACCGGCTTTTGCACGGGAATGCCATTAACGTGAGTTATTATGTCTCCTACTTCCAAACCGCTCCTGTATAAAGAAAAAACTTCTCGTTAAAAATCTGGATAAAAATCAGTTGAAGCTTACATTTGAGCCGGAGTTCCTGGTATAATTTTCCAAACCAACAGCCCATGCGTGAGCTCTTTAGGTATATTTTCGTTTTCTTTATGCAGTTCGACTAACAAGTCAGGAGTTATTGTAATAGTGGTCAATCCGAAAACGGGTTTGCTTGTCTTGCGTCCTGGTGATTTTACTAGACGATATTTCGAGTTTTGTAGAAACTTTTTAACAAATTCTAAAAAATAATTATTTTGATCCACCATCGACAACCACACACTGATCCTCTTACCAACAGGTATAGCAAACGAAATCCCTGAAGTCAACCTCAAATTATTAATCCCAATAACATCCCCATCCAAGTTAACCAGAGGTCCACCAGAATTCCCAAAAGTAATACTCGCATCAGTTTGAATATAAGTCATCGAGTAATTCTTCAAACCTAATTCTTCTGCTGGTCTATCGATGCTACTAACAATTCCTACAGTCACCGAGTTGCTCAAAGACAAAGGGCTTCCTAGAGCAACAACCCATTCGCCTACAGCTGTATCACCAACAGCTCCAAACTGTAAACTAGGCAATTTTTCATTGGTTTCCAGCTTCAGCAAAGCTAAATCAATGTTCATATCTGCATCTTCAACTTTAACATTAAAACTCCTGCCGTCACGCATTACTGCAGTAACGATAGTTTGTGGTTTATTGATTACAACGTGAGCGTTAGTCAAAGCCCAACCGTCTTCGCTTATAATAAAACCTGAACCATTTGAAGTTACTACAGAGTTTCCAGTTTCTGGATCTTTCAACGATGGGTCTCTGATTTCCAAGTAGAAAACCGCTCCGGCGCAATCGTTTACGACTTTTTTGATAAAATTGTATTGCTCTCTCAAGTGGTCTTCCTTTGGATTGCCTTCTTCCAAATCGACTGGGTTTTTGAAGAGGGTATTCGGGTCGGGAACGATATTTTTGCTAATTTTCATATCGGTGGCTTCCTGTTTGTGTTTATTTTTCATGAAAGCATAAGAGGCAAATAGAGCTGTGGCCATTCCCAAACCTCCAACAAATGCAATTTTGTTTATCGGATTATTTTTCTTGTAATTTCCATCGGAATATGGTCTATCTGATATTAGTCTTAGGAAGTTTTTGCTTGTTAGGATTTTGGGCGAGACTCTTAAGAGAGATGGGTTCATTTCAGCACTGGAAATTTGGACAAAGGCCTAAAATCTTAACTGGAAATTTTGAATGTGAAGTTTATGTCATTGTAATTTGGCAACGTTGTCGGTCTACTATGCAATTATTATTTTTGGATGTAACCGGCATTCACCTCTGGATGCGTGAAGTTTTAAATAGATGGTACAGGGCGTTCCACTTTTTGGTTCCAGAAATAAAGTTATGTTTTGGTGTCCGAAGGACATTCCATTCCGAACAATAGAAAATGACCATATCTTATGATTTATGGAATTGATTTTAATGAGTAATTTGATTTTTATTTTGTGATTAATATCGTAATATTTCATTCTTGAATTATTGAGAAAACTTGGATAACTCCTTAATAAATTATCTTTGAAAGTTTCTGTAGGTACTTAAGCTGTTAAAAAAACATTCAAATTCTCACTTCTCAGAATTTAATAATTGGGATATTTGCATTGAAAAATACTGAAAGTTACTTGGGGCAATCAGAATTCAATAATTAAAGTCTATTTATTAATTGGAACAAACTGGAACTACTGAAAGTGGATCTGATGCTCAGAAAATCTAAATATGATAGGTATAGGTACCTACTTAGGTTATAATTTAGATTTAAGAAAACTTTGAAGTCATAACTTTTTTTCTATTATCGATGAAAAGTTGATATTTTCAGCGATTCTTATTCCAGTAGAGGACTACAATCCCTGAAAATTTCAACTCATTTGGACTTATAGTTCCAGAAATAAAATAGTGTTATGCAATTTGGGGTAATTTACCAATTAATCAAATTTCTGAGTACCTTTTTACATAGATTTCGGATTCATATCTTGGAATAATTAAGTGTATGGAGTTTGGGGGATTCTAAAGGACCATTAGGACACAAAATTTCAACAAAATAAAATTTGAAATTCTATATTCCATCGTTTTAGTACTGAGGTAGCGACCTTATGATTTAGATTTTGGAAATTTTTTAAAGGTCATAACTTTTTTTTTATTGAGCTGAAATTTTCAGCGATTCTTACTTCAGTAGAGGACTACAGTTCCTGAAAATTTCAGCTCATTTGGATTTATAGTTCAATATAGTTCCAGAAATAAAATTGCGTTAAGGAATTTGGGGTGATTTATGAATTTTTCAATTTTTCTGAGTGCCTTTTTTCGTAGAATCCTGCTCCAAATCTCAGAACAATTCAGTGTATATTTCCTAACCAATAGGGAAAATGCCAATTTTCTGTACGCGATTGACCCAATAACGACACGTAGCAGAACAATCGAGTAAGGGAAAAAGACTTTTCGCACGAGTCAGGGCACATTCACTACATAAAATGCGTGCGGAAAAATGGAGTTCCACGCACGCTCATAGAATAATAATAATTTAAGATATAAGTGCTAAAAGTGACATTTTATTTTGTGAAAAGGGAAGTTTGGGACACGACGCCGAAGGCGGAGTGTTCCATCCCTTTGAACAAAATAAAATCACTTTGTAGCACGAATATCATACACTATTTTTTCTACAAATCAGTGTTGCCAACTTTCGAAAATGAAATTTCTCACAAGCGAGTCCAAAAATTCCCACAAATGCACAAAATACTGACAAAACCTAATAATGCAATCTTTAGTAGGCAGGTTAGTTTTTAAAATAAATTAAATTTGAATTACGTTACAACAAATCAAATAATAGGCAATTTTTCGCGAGGATAATCAAGCATAATCTGATTATGCTGGGTTGTGATGTGTCAATCGCGTCATACTCTCCTAACTCCCTCACCATCTAAATCTGGGCCTGCGAGTGACGTCACTACAGCTTAAAGTGATGACGTTATAATTTATCGATAGTCAAATGAGACAGTAAAAAAAAAGTATATTCCTTTGGCTGTCGGCGTTTTCTTTATAAAGCACGGGCTGAGTAATAGAAATTTATTAAAACAGTTTTATATAAAATAAAACATGAGGCACGATACAACTCTAATAGGAATCAAATTTATAAAAACTATCTACTGTACTCTGATTCGCAAGCGGCAGCCGCTACAAAGAAATATGCCGCCAAAGACGCCGCCGCTTCAAAGAAATATGCCGCCAAATACGCCGCTAAAAATTCTAACCAATAAGATATTCCTGGAGTCAACGTTGACTGTATAAAACAACCAATAAGATGCATTGTTCGCACTTGGATTCGCATCCAATGTATAGGGGCACGCTCAATATATTTTTCCTAATAATAGTATAATAATTTTAACGGCAATACGATAATTTGAGGAGACCCCAATTTTTGCCTTGTCTCATTTGAGAAACGATAGACTATACCCGCAGATTTCAATGGAATACGTGCGATTCAGGCTTTGCTAGTGAGTTGATTTTTTCGTCGATTTTAAATGAAGAAAAGGTGATTTTCGGTCTGTTCTCACAGAAGAAATTATAGTGGAGTTCCCTCGTACGAAATTTTGGAGGACTGACCCGATTAGCCAGGCTCTATATACGACCCATAAGACTCTATCTCGCCATTTTTTTCAAGATGGTGGTTAGGAAATTTCCTTAATTTCAAAATTGATATAATTGGACATGATTATATATACTCTTTTTCATATAATTTAAAGTCCTAATGTGCTATGCTCGCTTTGCCAGCCTCCACAAGGAGTTATCCTTTGCTTCTAGAGAGGTGACATACTTCATCCAGCTTTTATTTCTGTAATTTCGTATGTCCCTCTCTATTTCGCGGTTCATTATTCTGATAATCTCCCTGGTACTCATTCTTGGAACAGGGGAGCAGCGTTCCCAGGAGAACGAGTGCTTTGTCTTTGTTCCTTATATTGTCATATGCATATCATTGAGGAAGACGGAACACTTGTTCTCCTGAAAACGCTACTCCCTTGTTTCAAGAATGAGGACTCGGGGGTTGGGGCGCCTCTGACATGCTCTTTTGACCCTATTTCGTTCCTTGATTAGTGCTATAATGGATGCTGCTGGAAGGAGTCTGTTCTGTGTTTCAGGGTGTTTTTGGGGACAGGTGGTCTCTGATGGATTGGATGTTCTTTCAAACTACTCGCCTCCCAAGTTATGGAATACTGATGATTGGATCGGGGATGGCCGTAATATCGGTCAGTCTTTGTTTGTACCTTGGTTAGCCAAAATTCCTGTACGAGAAAACCTGTTAGTGAGCCCTTCCGAAAGTGCAACATCAATTACGGATGGGGTTAGGCCAAACATGATTGCTCAGCATAAACATTGAAATGCCTCATCAAAGACCAAACTTTTTTTTTTTTAAACTAACAGATCAGTGGTGGCTGGTACGGTAGTAGTAAGGTACATGAAGCCATGTCATTACCTTATTTTCCACAGAAATGTTCCAAAGTATCATAATATGAAGGTTATAAGATTATAAAACCTTTTTTTCAGAAAAATAAAATATTGCCATGCCTCCGTGGCATTACCTCACCAGCCGTCGCTTCAACAGATACTGCAAACTATAGGTCAATAACTAGGGATCTTTGGTTTTGGCATTCGCCCTTGCAGTTAGTACATGCGGCTGTACTATAGGTTTCCGACACGAACATCTGTTAGTTTCACATTGACCTTCACATCCACACTTCTCTAGTCCTCTTAGAGCTCACCAAATTTGTGGCAGCAGGCTCCCAGCGGTTGTTTGTTAAATTCCAACCCCATCCTCCAGGTTATTGGTCGTTCACCTTTACAAAACTGCACAAAGTTTGTTTCTTGTATCATATATAGTTCAATAGTGAATTTATCTAAAATATTAAAAATATTTTGTAGTATATCTGTGGTACTATCTATTAAAGATGAACAATGGAAGGCCAGGGTTGCCTCCGGATAATCTTCCTATGCTTTCCATGCTATGTTTTTTCCTTTCAATGCAAAAAAGGGAGTAGTGTCGCACCCCGTTAAAGCGTGAAAGCGACGCAGTGCTTACGATTTTTCTAATTCCAAATGATTTGCAACGTTATGAGCTGCAATAAATATATCTTTGCGATTTGCTAACCCCATTATAGACACCATAATTCCTCAAGGCCTAAGGAATTTAATATATATAAAAAAAAAAATTATATTGCGATTATTACCCCATCTGTGTCCGAGCATCGTACTAAAACGGATTTAGCGCCATTTTGAACCAAATATTCAACATAATCTCAAAACCACTCTGGATGGACTATCTTGTGCCGACATGGAGGAAGCAGATAGAAGTATGGAAGAATGTTTTTACATGTTGAGTCCTTAGACTCCTTAGCCCTCGAGGAATTCTGGTATCTTGTATATGGGGTTAGCAAATCCCAAAGATATATTGCAGCTCATAACATTGCAAACTATTGGGACCTGAAAAATTTTCAGCACTGGCGTGGCTTTTATGCTTTTACGGGGTGCGACACTAGTTCCTTTTTTGCATTGAAAAGAAAAAATAGAAAATGAAAAGCATATGGGAAGATTATCCGGAGGCAACCCTGCCCTTCTATTATCTTTAATGAATAGTAGCATAGATAGACCACAAAATATATTAAAAATTTTAGAGAAATTTACTAAAACAGTATAAGCAAATTTGAAAAAGTTAACGAATTGAAAAGGGTGCAGTTTTGTAGTGGAGAACCACCAATAACCATGTGTCCACCCTCACAAGACAGTCTAATGGAAGACTACAGAAGAGCTGCGTATCAAGCTCGTCAAATATGGGGTCGATCGCTGTCACCCGGTGAACCTATTCCATCACTTGGAGGATGGGCTTGGAATTTAACAAACAACTGCTAGGAGCCAGCTACCACAAATTTGGTGACCTCTAAGAGGACTAGAGAAGTGTGGATGTGAAGGTCAATGTGAGACCAACAGATGTGCGTGTCAGAAAGCAGGTCTCCCTTGTACACTTGCATGTACTAACTGTAAGGGTGAATGTCAAAACCAACGATCCCTGGTACTCATTCTTGGAACAAGGAACAGCGTTCCCAGGAGAACGAGTGCTTTGTCTTTGTTCCTTATATTGTCATATGCATATCCTGAGAACGCTGCTCCCTTGTTTCAAGAATAAGGACCTATAGTTTGCAGTATCTGTTAAAGCGACGGCTAGGGAGGTAGTGCCACGGATCCGGCAGTACCTTTTTTTCCTGAAAAAAAAAGTTTTGTAGCCTTCATATGAAACTTTTAATCCTCGCGAAAAATTGCCTAATAATAACAAGTCATTCGTTAGAGTTTTCATTTGTACCGCCTGCTAGATCCTAAAATTAAGCTGGAATCGGATTCGAGCTTTTTGGATTCAGCGTGGTATCATTTGTAATAAGTTGCCAGTTCCATCAATAATCATATTTATTTTTCGGTGAATCCCCGAACTCGAAGTTTTAAACTCGACCAAAGTCCAACAAATACCATTTTAAAGTCACGTGATTTTTTTCTATCCTTGTTGAATACATCTTACACAGCGGTGACAGAAAAATTGAAAAAAAAATTGAGTCTAATTTTGGTGGACATTTCCCTTTTCCCTTCAGTGTTACTAATTTCCCACGAATCGGGAAATTTCCCACGAGTTGGCATCACTGCTACAAATGCACTAAAAGTGATTACTTTTAGCACTCAGTGCTAAAAGTAATCATTTTTAACACCAGTGTCATGAAATGAAATTTTGAACACTGACAGCATCCGTTAAAAATGACACTTTTAGTGACGTTTGTAGAAAAAGAGACTTTTCGCACGAGTCAGGGCACATTCATTACATAAAATGCGTGCGGAAAAGTGGAGTACCACGCACGCTCATGAAAAAAATGGAATTTTCATTTACTTTACTGAATCTAGTGCAGCCATACAAAACACAAATTAATGACATTACAAATTGAAAGCGCTTCACGTTTTCTAACCTGCAAACCATTTGACAGGAAAATATTTATCTTTTTTATATTTTTTTCCTTTTTATCAAAATAAATAATAATTACAAAAATGTTCGATTTTGGAGATACTTTGGCGCTAATTATAATATTGTCCCTAACAGTTATGGGGTTGTTAGCTTGCTTGGGGGCTTACGCTAGAAAAAGGTCGTACATGGAAGCTCTATGAATATGGTAATGTTTCTTTTGCAAGAAAACTACAAAATAATGATAAACCTTATTTTTAGGACTAAAATTGAATTTCGAAAACTTATGTGTAATATGTAATTTGAAGATAAGTGATATGTTTCTTATAATAGTTTTGTAATTTATTAATAAACATTTATTATTACTGGAAATTATTTTTTCTAAATTTAATCCATATACTGATAACAAAATAAACATTCTTAAAGTTAATGCTATCTATACACCAAATGAAACTGAAAATTGGGTGCCCGACTGTAAAATACAAAAATATAAATAAACATAATAACTAATCAAAAAAAGGCTCAAGCAATCAAGTCTCTTATCTTTTTCGCCAAGTAAGCATTGTATTCTTTGTAATTGATTGGATCAACTTTTACAGCAACAGTTTTAAGACGTTGCTCATCCTGTAATAATAATTCATTCAATAATTTATTTACTATAATTAAAATCCCTTACATTATAAGTCTCCATTTTGGCTCTACACTTCAAGATAAACTCTTTAAAGTTGAGACTCTCCATCATTTTACTTAGACCATCAGGGTCTCTTTCCCCCAATTCCCCAACTTCCTGAGCTGACATCCCAATCACTTTTTCAGCTTCGTCACTAAACATGCTCACCCACTGATTACCGCTCCAATCACCAACATTCATCTAAAATTAAGCAGTTAAAAATAATTCCAACTATTAAAAAAAATCCTTACGCTGCACAAAAGTCTAAATTTGTAATTCTGAAAATCTTGCTGACACTTTTCGCATCTGTAAGTTCCATCATTGTTGTCAACGACTTTTTTGTTGCAACCATCAGTGGGACATGCTTTGTAAATAGAGTTTTCAGATCTTATTAGAAGCACTGTGGCTTTGACCATGTAATAATCACCACTGGCAGTGTTGATTGAACCAAGTTGTTGATCAATGACCTAAAATGAGTGTTTAGTGTGTATTTTTACCAACTAAATATAATTATTACTTCTTTAAATGTAAGCCAAGGTGTGTTGTAGCTACCAGTACCACCTCCGGCAGTTCTGGCACTGAGATCATTGTAAAGTGCAGATGAGCCTGCTGAAGTAAACCTGAAAAGTTTGTGTTTAGAAACGAATGATACACAGATTTTTTTCACTTACCAGCCTTTAAGAGTGAAACTTTCCTCCATATCAGGATTTACTTTCATGAGGGTACTGGAAGTGGTACCTAAATTTTTTCCTCCACCAAACTCGGTTACTCTGGCACCTTTTAAAAGAACAACAGGGTTGTCAAATCCGTTGAAATTTTCAGCTTGCTGTCCCCACAAAGTTAAAGTAATCTGGAAAATAATATTAGAACCAGTATTAGGATGAAATTATGTATATAATTACAGTGGCATTGGATTTATCTACAAGCTGAACTTCTCTTTTTTTCAATTCACGTCCAGTGGTTTTAGCTTGGAATGAGTTAACTTCACCATAGGATTTGGCAATTGCAAAAACATCTATAAAGACGAATGTTTGTTAAATGAAATCAAATAGAACATAATTTGAAAATCATACCAACTGTTGAATTGGGTTCTACTTCTGCAATTTTTGCAATATCCACAAAGTTATATTGGATTTGTAAATTTTTCATGTCATCATCCAAACATTCTTCAACTATGGTATCTGAAGTCATTGTCATTTCATAATCGTTTTTTACAGTGTTAAACTGCTTGTTGGCTGGTTTTACTTGGCATTTCGAAATGTAATAGACTTTATCGACCTGAGAAAAAGTTTTGATGCAATAATGCTTATTTGGGGAATAGGAATATCTTTATCTTACTTGAATAACATCATAATATTTATCCACAGTTGTTCCAAAAGCGGTCAATCGAATTTCGCCGCTTTCATCACACAAATCAACACTGAAAAGTTGTCCAGAACCACGAGCATTTTCCCATTTTCTTATATCACTCTTACTCATTACTCTTACTTTAATAATCCACCTAAAAAAAATATACTTACACACTTACTATCATCTACAAAGATTCTTACTTGTTATGATAAGGACTCAAACTTGATATGGGATGAGTAATGTGACCACCAAGAGTTGTATTTCCATCATAAGTACCATTAGTACCATTAGTGGCTAATTTCATTCTTTTTGCAACTGGTTCAACTTCTGCCTGCACCGAAGTGCTAGGACCTGTACCAGACGGTTTTGGACGGGCACTGGCTGCTTCAGAGTAAGGAATCGGGTCACCTATTTTCACTCCTACTTCATCACCATCTTTAAGGAGTTCCAAGTCCAGAATAAGAAGGACTCGACTAAATATTATTATTATTAGCAAAATTATAACAAATTACTGTGTTCTATTGTTACCTGTCTCTTCCATCAGTGTTGTTAATAACACTAGTCATGGACCTGATTATTTTTATGATGGAAAACCTGGGTAGGCCTTTTGGGCCGGCTTTGGCGTAAATTTGTGCGGTCATCATGGCATGAGACACTGTGTACTGGCCATCGGACAAATATATCCTGTACCTGTCTTTTTCAGGCTGACCAGAGCCGCTGTTCATCTTTTTAATGCTCAGAACTTGAACGACGGGTTCGGTGTATTCACCTCCCCGCATGATAGTCTAGTGAAGCAAAAAATAATAAGTGAGGAAATATTGTGAAATTATGTTGCTTACCTCAAGGGCTCCGGAGGAGAGTTTTTCCGACATTTTTTAGGGTTTTATATGATATTGGACAAATAAATTAGGAAATTAATACTGGTGAACGAAGACAAAACAATAATGTATTTTTTTGTGGTGTGAATAAATTTGGCGGGAAGTAGATTTGTCAAAAGTGTCAAACGTCGTACTAGAGTCTAGACTAGTGTCAAACAAAAAGTAACGTAGAACCAATGGACGTGTTAGTTTTTGTCAACTTTTTCGTCGATTTGCTCCGAAATTTTGACAGGCACGTGACTGGATCAGACAGTTTCAATTTACAAATCACGTGCCTGTCAAAATTTCGGAGCAAATCGATGAAAAAGATGACAAAAACGAACACGGCCAATGTAGAACACTTTTTTTTAGGTTATGAATCACATAGTGCAGAGCAGCTTTCGGGTGCTCCCGAGCTACTCCGAAGTACTCTGGCTACAGTTTGACCCGTTCGGGTGAACAGAGTTTGAGGCGCTCGAGCTGCTCTCATTTCCTCGCCTCTCATCCCTGAAGCACTATCCATATCACGATGCGGATTCCGTGCACTGTCGAATTTTATAGTGACATGTCGTGTTCGATATTTCGTATTCTGTGTACCGTTTTCTACACGATTTCCCCTCATATAAAATGTAGAAATTGACACTAGAATTCGACATGTAGAAAGCGAAAGGAACAGAATCCGCGTCCTGGGTTGCATTACGCTCTGGGCAATATGGATTCTACAATTCGGGTGCAAAACGCATGGAGTATATCGGGTGTGAAACGCTCTAGGAGCGTCGCACTCTGCACCCGAAAGCGGCTAAGAGACAGTTGATTGGTGAACGATTAGTGAACATCGAATACTGTGAATTAACTCTACCGGTTCTAGGGATTTATCAAGAACCATTTTTCGGACGCTAATGTTATGGGACTGATTGTTCCGAGCTTCCATTACTTGTTCCGAAGTTGTTCGCAATAGAATAAAATCCTGAACTTGGTCTTAAATCGCGCTCTAGAACAATCCTGAACTAGTTCCAGTTCCAAGATGCTTCGAACTACATTCGGAATAAGGAATGATTCAGAACTGATTTATAACTTGTTTAGAAGTCAAACGGTCAGAAACCTAAGTCCCTTGTTCGCGGTTGTACAAGAATGGATTCCGGATCGACTTGGAACTAATTCTAGATGTTCTTAGGATTGAGAAAGAATCATATTTGAGTCAAATGTAGCTTTATACCTCATTCTCACTTGTGCGAAATTCGCTCTTTTTTGACATTTCTTCGACAATTTGACATTTGATTCACGCATAAAACATCAAATTGTCGAAGCAATGTCAAAAAAGTGCGAATTTCATAGTTATGAGTACAAGGCTTTAAGCAGACTTTTGAGCTTTTACTACAGCCGCTTTCCAGCTGACGCTTTTGAGCACGCAATCGAGTTTTTGCGCGCACAAATGCTTCAAGCGCGTGTTCGTGTTCCAGCCGTACTGCGCTTCGAGAGCTGCTAAACTTTTGCGTTTCAAACACAGAACACTGTGCTGTACCGTGCTTGAAGCACATAGCTGGAAAGCGGCTTACGAAAGCTGGGTCCGGCTTGCACATTCCGAGTAACTCCGTTCGCACTCCAGCCGTTAGGGTATTGCCTTTTAACGAATCAGCCAACGGCTGGAGTGCAAACGGAGTTACTCGGAGTGCACGGAGTGTGCAAGCTGAAGTTGTTCGTTGTTTGTGATAAGATGAAATCCTAAACGAGTTTCATATTGGTTCGCAATACGTTCGTAATTGAACCGCGAAGAAAACTATTACCATCGAACCGCGGAAAAATAAATTACGAACTATAATCATAGTTCATTGTTCGCGGTTCAACTAGAATCGATTTCGGATTGATTCTGAACTAAAGACAGAAAGCGTTCTATTTGAAGAGAGCGTTACCGGATGGTCGGAGTGCCTACGGAGTGTTTAGAGTACACCAAAGAGAAGCAGGATATATTTTTACAACCTAAGCCTAGTACTCATAACTGTGAATTGTGGATTTTTTCTAAGTCGAATATATTTAAACCTGTCAAATTTAAATAAAATCGACCAATAGAAAAAAATCCGCAATTCGTGGTTATGAATCTAGGCTTTAAAATTTGAAAATTAAGTTCTTAGGGCCGGTATTATAAAACTATTTTCATAGATAACCAAAAGTTAACTTCTAGAATTACTTGAGAAGTAACGTCATTACTCATTCTAGAGTTAACTTTTGTATTCTGTCAAAATAGTTTTTAATTACCCGCCCTACCGTGCGTTCGGTATTTTGATCTGAGCTCTCCGAGCTTGAATTTACCGTTCGTTTATTCAAAAAGTGTACCCGGTGCGCTCATTCGCGTTCGTTTATTCAAATTTCGGGCACTCTGACACAGTGTTCAACTGCTCTGTTCTCCCGCCGGTCACGTGATTACGGCTCCGCTCAGTACGCTCTGCTCTTATTTGAGCAAAATACCGAACGCAAGGAAAGTCAGTCCTAGAACAACAATAGCTAGGTTCGGCTATTCAGCGCGGAGTTGGAGTGGAGTAAATAGAGCTAATGGATTCACCCCTAATATGGTAAAAAGCAATACCCGAACGGCTGGAGTGCAAATGGAGTCACTCGGAGTGAGCAAGCCGAACCCACCTAATGATAAAACCAGTGCATAGAACAGTCCCATATGCGAAAAAAAAAAAAGAAAACCATCTAGCAACAGCCAACTGTCAAAAAATAACCGTTTCCGTTTTTCATAACCTCACTTTTTTCGTATCAGTATCAACAATCAACAGTTTTAAAAATACTCGACGAAAACTGATGTTCGGCATCGAAAATGTTAGAAGCCCTAGTCGCAGCGGCCAATTTCATAAAGACTACAATTTTCTACGCCTTATACGGTAGTTGCAAAATGGGAAATGTATTGGTCACCTGTATCAGTGTGCTACTTAACCATTTGTCAAAGTTTACAGAAAATCTAATGGTATTTTTTTCTGTACTGTGTCAGTCGTTTTCTATTTTTTTCCAAGACAATCTACAATTCCTCCAGGAATTATTTGCGTTCGTAGGAAGTGGATTTGATTCAATATACACCACAATTTACTTCATGGTTTCCAAAATAGCAAAATTACTGAGTGCTACAGTGAATCTAGTTCTAGGTTCTTATGAGGCCTTAACCGATTTGCTGACAACAACATGTGTGATCTGGATACAACTTGTAACGATTCTGAAGAAGTTCCTTATCATGTGCGGATTGGGAGTATGGTTTTTGATAACGCTAGTGCCTCTGATGCTCTACTACATTTGCAAATTTATTGTCACTTCAATTCAGACAATTTACAATGAAATTATTGATATTTGCAATAGTGGAGCACTATTTGTAGTAGTGTTGGTTAAAAACTTTATACTCTTTGTTTTTGATGTGCCTCTGGAATCACTTGCTGGACTATTCATTGGTATCAGTTTTTTATTCATTATTAGGCAAATGTATACGTCACTTGCATTTTTCATAAAAAACAAAGTTAGAGCAATGAGGAATTATTGGTATCAGAGGCAGCAAGTCAGTGTAAGAAGAGAAGACACCAACAGTGAGCCAGCCCAGCTAGAGATTGCAAGAACTCTGAGATCTACTACTAGGCAAATTTCTGATAAAGATGCAACAGAAAACTCAGAAATCTATTGCATTATTTGCCAGGAGAATACCAGGTGCATTTTACTACTGCCCTGTCGTCATCTTTGTTTGTGCCAGGTTTGTGTCCAGAAGCTGAAAATGTACAATAAAAGCTGTCCAATTTGTCGTACTGGCTTTTCAAGGACTATGAAAATATACATTTAATTTTATTGCAAACCATACCAAATGAATTTTTAGTCCTATGTTGTAGCAAATCTATATTTTATTTTCTTTAACTAGTTTAAATTTTCAAGTGATATCATTATTTTGCCTCAATGCAAAAGATAATTAAATATTTTTTTTTTTAAAAAAAGACTGACATTCTTTTGTATTGTAATTATAAGGGAGTGTATGTATAGATGATTCAAAATTGTAGTGTACTTGCAGAGCGATATTTTGTATAATTAAGTTGTTTGTAAAATAAAAGTTTTCCCCATTTACTTTATTTGTTTTTATTTAGATCACAACCTGATGTCTAATAATTATTACTAAGGTGGACATTTAAAATAAAAAAGATATTTACAAAAAAAAATGTCCTAGTATTTTCCAGATTGTACAGAGTATTTAATTTTTCCATTACCGTCAATGCTGGAAGAACTAGAAGAAAACGCCCCCTTGTTGCCTTGAGCTGCTCCTGAAACTTGAACTCCTGTTCCTTCAGCTTCCCCGAATCTTGAGAACAATACCGGCCTATAAAAAAATGCAATAACATTTTTAATAAGCATTCTTTGAATAAATAATTAAGATTAAAAAAAAACTTGTGTTTGAATAGGATTTATTAGCGTCATTGTTTGAATCGTTTAGCAGGAAAAACCCATGTTATTAAGTGTGTATGGGTCGCGTGGGTTCCTATTGAAATTTTTGGAATTTTATTTATAAACAATTACTATTGTCTGTAGCTATAAGATTAGACACGAAAATTTAATGTGATTATGGTTTTCATTTGAGATAAAAGTTTTATATTTCGCAGATTTTCCCTCCATCAACCTTTTTTTCCAGCATTTTTTTTTTTATTTATTTTTTTATAGCTTATTCGCCGTCTTTCTCTTCTTTTCTGCATTTTCTTAGCTTTGCTTATTGCATTTTTTGCTGCTTTTTTCGAATGCTGAAATTATGTTAATTGAACAATTTTCTTTAATATTCATAGGTACTTGTTCAAGCATTCAGAGAGCGCACAAAGTCCTAGTGAGGTCTTTTTTAGGTCTGCATTGCATCTAAATTTCCGAAGACCAAAAATAGAGGTCTATAAGATGTAGGTAGCAAATAATAGTTTATGTTGTTATGTTACGTTGAAAATGTCTTTAAAATGTCTTCGTCCTAAAGACGTCTTTAGGCACACGTCTGAAACACGTTGGGTTTTGTGATATACGACGTCTTCAAGATGTCTTTGGGACGCCTTTAAAACGTAAGCAAGATATCTTGAAAGTCGTTTGTGGACATCTTAGAGATACCTTCAAGATGTCTTCAGAAATTTACTACAGAATTCGTTTCTAATTTCAACTTAGAAGTTACTGGAAACCATTTAGAATGCTACAGAACAGAACACCTAACTTTAGAACTTTAATAAACTTTTTTCAAAGCACTTCAGAACATTTTGAAATCTTCAGAACCATTTTGGAATGTCCTAAAACATTGAAAAACCGATTTACAAATTCCAAAAGCGTTTAAGAATAATTCAGAAGTTTGAAACCCATTTTGGGACGCTCCAAAACACTCCAACACTCTAGAATCTCCAGAAATATTTTGAAAAGCGCCAGAATCTTAGGATTCAGGTTAAAAGTTACAAACCTGTCAGAAGGCTTTTGAGCCGGCGAATTTAGATTGTTTTAAAACTTTAGACTTTATAATAAACATCCCAAACAGTTTAAATCCAAGTCAGAATTTTGGAACAATTGAGAAACCTTTTAGAACTCTTCTGAACCAATTTAGAACACTTTGGAGCTTCAATAGGGCTCTACAAATAATTAAAAACATGTCAGAACAATTTAGAAATCACTGAAAAACTTCTAGAATGCTCCAGAACTCTTCAAGCCAAGTTCGAACTTCAATAAGCCATTTAGAAGTTTTAGAACGTTCCAAAATACTTTCTAGCAGCATTTTAGAAGGCTTTAGAACAATTTAAAAACCTCAGAATTATTCCAGAGATGCTAGCGCCTGGTATAGACAACAAAATTGAAAGTTATAAAATGAGTAATAATTGAATACTTATAGGTCCTGAAAACGTCTGAAAAACATTGGGTTTGTGATGATCCAGAAATATGACCCTATAATTACAAAGTCTTTACTGTAAAAATTAAATAAATAATCAAACAATCAAAAACTTAATTCCGGTATTTTGAAATCTGTATCGATAAATTAAAAAATAAAAACCAACTAAGCAATCGAATTACGACACCCGGAAGTGTCATCTAAATTAAATTCTTAAAACAGATAAAAACGAGGACAGTATGACATCATTAATAACCGATCAATGATCTTTTTCGTTAGCGAAGGCCATGTGTAACTAATTAAATCGAATGAATTATGGCATTTTTTGAACCCAAAACGTTTTGACCTCGATAAATCAGTATATTACGACATAATTAGTCGATTTTTGGGCTACAAAATTGATAAAATATTCAAGGAAATTGCATCATTCTTTTAATAACAATGAGGGCGTCCAATGAAATTCGAAGTCCTAAGTTAACGACCGCCTATATTGACGATTTGGGGGAAATTTAATAATAATTTTGTGGGGAGAGCGATTTGATATAAAACTCGCGGAAGATAGTTCCCAGTGATCTGAAGATAGTTCCCAGTTGATAGTGCCAGTTAAGAGTCGAGTCGTCCATTTGAAGTAAAGTCGGTCCAGTTTCGCGAAAAGTTTCTTTTATGGCCTATGGCCTCGGGTATAAATTAACTTAGAAAATTTACGGAAAATCGAGAAAGTAATAACAGTTGAAATTTCGTTCAATCAATTATGTGCATGAAGCTAAATATTTTGAGTAGTTAATTAAATAATTTTACGTGTGTTTTATGGACAAAATGTAAGTACTTTATAGTGACAAGATTTATTTTGATGAACATGACTTTGTGTGAAATTTTACTAGAAAACTTTTGATTTTAAATTTAACGGTGGAACTTTATTACAACGAAATTAATAACTTGAGTGTTTTATGAAGGAAACATTATCGCATAACTTTAATTACCTTCAGATATAATGACATTTAAATGTGCAACAAAAATATGAAGAGTACTTACAATGCATTTAACAATATTCAATTTTGAGTTGGAAATTATGAATTAAACAGTTGGATTTATTAGCTAGGCATAGGAATCCGAAAATAGAATTTGTTCTAAGAAACTATTAACTGCAATAGGAAATTTTAAAAAGAAATTTGATGACATAATAGAATTGTTTTCTTAAAATATTGGAAACTAGTTAAAAGGAAACTTATATTAGAAATTGTCTGATTAAATAAACTAATTAAAAGGAAATAGGATGTTTCGTAAATTAAACTTGTTCATGAAATAGAATTGTCTTAGAATATGGGAAAGCCGTTAAAAGAATTTATTGTCCATGAAATGAATTTTGAATTAGGGAGTTTATTTTACAAGTAGAGGTTATTGTAAGATTTTATGAGAATAAATTAGTTGTTAAACAAATAGGTAATTATTTTGGGTTTTTATAAGTAATGGACTTAGAGATTTTAAGGAATTATTTGACCGAGGTAAAGGGTAGTTATTAGGAATGATTTGGATGTAGTAAAATAAATAGAAATATTATTTTGAGAAATAGTATGAATAGGGCGTTTCTTATTAAGTAGGCATATTTCAGTGGTCCGTATAATAACAATATAGAACGGATGTGAAGTATTAATTTTACAGAATTAAAGAAGGATGTAAAGTATTGGGAGATATTTGGCTAATTGATTTTTGAGTTTTATGTGAAATAAAATATAATTTAGTACACCTCCTTAGTTTGTTTCTCTCTCTTGCAAATAGACCCTCTTCCACAGATTTTAGATAGCAAGCTCCAAGTATATAAACACCATCAATATACCGCTCGCCATTTACCATCTAACTAATTTACATAGAGTACTTGGGGCGATTTGCTACATTGGTGTCAGTTGTGTGGGGTTGTCTATTATTTGTACATTGAGAGCAACTAAGAGGTTATTTTAATTGTATTGTGAAAGCATCGGTAGGGCTAAAAATAATTTTTGAATTGAGAAAAACTGTAGTAATTTTGTTAGTTAAAATTTGAGTTGAGATTAATCAAGCGAAGTCAAAAATGACCAACCCTCCTAGCCCCGTACCACAATTCAACACCACCATGCCTAACCTTTTTATAGGATTAGATTCCATACCTACCTATGATGGAACTACTAGTGCTGAAGAATTTTTAAATGTCCTAGAAGAAACCAGTATTTTAGCTGACTGGACAGACACACAGAAAATTTCAGTAGCTCGATTGAAACTGAGATATCGAGCCAAGCAGTACATAGAGTCAGAGCCAACCCTGAAGACCACAACAAGCTGGGCTCTACTCAAGGACAGTTTAAAAACTCAATTTGGCAGGCATTATGTGAAGGGAACCGCTATGAAGCAGTTCATTGAATGCAAGCAACGAACAGGTGAAGCTTGTAGACAGTACCTTACTAGATTAAAGGTATTGGGGCACCGGACCGCTACACTCACCGGAAATCCAGCAACAGATAAATTGCTGGAAGAGAAATTGCTCGGGGACATTGCTACTCAATTTACCCTAGGATTGTTGATGCCGATTAAACAACGTGTACTCTCAGGAAATCCAGCAACCTTGGACGAAGCATTAGAAATAGCTGAGAGGGAAGAATCGATCGAAAATTTTCTGAAGCCACACAGTCGCGAATGTCGCGGAATTATGAATAAAAAGAAGACAGCAGGCCCAAGCCGTCAGAACCGTTGGAACCGAGAAACGCCACAAGCTAGAAAAATGGTGTGCTACAATTGCAACCAGGAAGGTCACGTAAGACCAAATTGTCCAAAACTAAAGGACGTGAACAGACAAGGTAACAGAGGTACGCTTGTTTGTTTCAGATGCCACAAGGAAGGGCATTTTGCTAAGAATTGCCGCTCGGAAGTCGGCGCTTTTTCCCAGCAATCGGGAAATAGGCAGAATTTAAACTCGCACGCAGCCCCCTATCAACCCCGAGACGTGGCTGCCAACGAGGCAAGTTGGGATTAAATGAAGAGAAATGGGTAGGGATATATACATGCTCCAAGGTGAGAACCCCAGAAAGTTGTAATGTAGTAAGGATTAGGGTTAATGATAAGTCGTACCTAGCCTTAATAGATTCTGGAGCTGTAGTATCCCTAGTTAAGCCCGAGATTGCCAAGGGGTTCAAAAAGGAACAATGTGATGTAAATTTGGTGGATATACAGGACAATAAAATTCCTGTAAGAGGTATGGCAAATATACCTGTGATGTTCGAAGGAGACATCGTTGTGAGACACAATTTTATTGTGGTGAATACAGATTCGTTAAGGGCAGATTTACTATTGGGAATAGATTTTCTGCGCCAATATGGTATTAAAGTAGATTGGCAGAACAACTGTATGTACGCTTTTGAGAAGCAAATCCAAATGTATGAAGAAAATATTGATGCTGAGTATGCGATACAGAAAGAAGAAAAAGAGTGGATGAACAAAGTTAGAAACTTGGAAAT